GGTACGTGTCAGTTGGGATTTGCATTTATTGTTATGGAGTTACATAATGTTCTCAAAAGTACCTGATTATGCCAAACCAATTTTGTAGTGCAGGTACATGGAGTGCCTGATGCTGAATATAGGATAAAGTACCTCCTATGCATTTCAACCACACGTACTTGCAGGGAAAAAATATGCTGCATGCCCAGGCCATTTTTCTAAATGGTGCTGGAAATCAGTTTTAACAGTGAACTCTTTGCCCTATCCTCTATTTAAATCCCTTCAAATTATCATAACTATGTAGGTTTCATACTTAAAAAAAAAGTTTTTTTGTTTGTTTGTTTTGTTCAACCTTTCCTAGGATCGCACCAAAATGGACGTTGGAATTAAAACGTGTACGTGTGTAAATAAATAAGTAAAATTTAAATTAGCATTACTAGTGACAGAGATGCTTAATGGAAAACTAATTTCAATCAGGCGTTGTACTTTGTGCTGGAAATGCTTTGATATGAATGATGCGAAGTGACACGTCATGCACAAGCCCAGTTATAATCTGCACCCATCTGCAGATGCTGAAGGATATCACTTAATTTGGAAAGTCAAAAGAGGATAATAAAACATGCTTATGAGGATGTTTATTTTTATTCTTCCAACAATAGTCGTGCACTCATCGTTTCAAGCTGATAGTGCGCTTGCTACCAGGGACTTGGTAGACATGCAGTTGTCAGCATGTCATCCTCTGCATCAAGAAGTGCGATGTCGCGGTGAGAACTTTCTTTTAAGCAATAATGGACAAACCTAAAATAAAAACAGAAGACATGACATGTCAGACTGATCTCAGTGAGTCCCGCTGATGCAATCTGGTGAAATTTTAGTGCCTCACTTGTTCCACACAAAGTCAGTTTTCAAAACTCTCGGGTCTCCAACGACAATCAGTAGAGATCGAGCTCGAGTCATTGCCACATTGAACCTCTAAAGGAAATTAAGTTTCAGTTAACGGACAGGTATTAATACAGTAGTTGACTGTAGTTTGTTTTACCTTCACTAAGATGACATAAATATTGTTTCAGAAATTAAATCACCCTAATTAAGTCTGTTTTAGGTTTTCTTCAGCCAAGTGGAACTCTGTTAAAAAGATGCAAAATAAAGGAGAATGCGATATTTCTCACCTTCTCGTGACTGACGAAGCCTAAATTGATGTTTTGATTGAAATCAGTCAGTTTGGGATTGCTGCGCACTGTAGACACCAGGACCACATTGAACTCTTTGCCCTGAAACTTCTCCACTGTGCCAACCTGAAAATACATAAATAAATAAAACAATAAACAAACACAAAAAGCATAGGAAGGAATTAAGTTTCAGAAAGTTACTCTTTTCAAAACATGTTTTAAAACCAAATAAATTACTTTCTATCTTCATACCAAAATGTTCTCTAAATTTTCCTTGATGAGATCTTTGTCTGTTTGAAGAGCCTTTTGGATCTTTTCAACCTGTCAGCACAAAAACAATTGCAAACAAATATTTTTGATGGCAATTTATAATACACCCCAATATATACATGGTACTTACATGTTACAGTGTCGATACTTAAAAGGTACACACTGGCATTTATAGGGTACACAAATGGTACACAAATGGTATGTAGTAGTACATGGTGCTGATCCTTACATGGTACATACTATGCAAATACAAAGTATATAATAGTTACTTACATGATACACACCTGGCATTTACAAGGTATATATTAGGTACTGACATGGTACTGGTTCTTACTTACCTAGTAACTTCACTGATACTTATATTGCATGTGTCAGATAAGTATCAAGTACATAATTAGTAAGTACCATGTTTGCACAAGGTAAGTATCCAGTATAGACCCAATGTACATACCAAAACAGTTCCAGGTATTTAGCAAGCTATGTTATGTTTTGCTATCTTACAAGACAGTGGTGAGACCAGCTGTACTGTATGGCCTGGAGACAGTGGCATTGACAAAACACAGGAGACAGAACTGGAAGTGGCAGAAATAAAGATGTTGAGGTTCTCCTTAGAAGTGACAAGGATGGATAAGATTAGGAATGAGATCATCAGAGGTACAGCACAGGTTGAACAACTGGGAGATAAAGTTAGAGAGGCCAGACTGTGATGGTTTGGGCATGTCCAGAGGAAGGACAGTGGGTATACTGGTAGAAGGATGTTAGAAATGCAGCTGCCAGGGAAAAGACAAAGAGGAGATATATGGATGCAGTTAGAGAAGACATGGAGGTAGTTGGAGTGAGGACAAAGGATGCAGAGGACAGAGAGAGATGGAGAATGACTCACTGTGGAGACCCCTGAAGAGGAAAAAGCCGAAAGAAGAAGAAGTAGAAAAAGAAGAAGTTATGTTTTGCTACCATGTTTCTTAATATGAATGTACCTTGTTAATAATGGTTCAATTTTGATTTTATGAAGGAAAACTATAAACTATCGCTGTATCAAAGTTTAAATGTTTTCTCGTGTTGATATGATTACTTGTTTTCTGTACGGGGCGATGATGCCAATTTCTTGAGGTCCAATGCAGTCCACACCCTTATCCTGAAGGTGTTTGATGATGTATTTCAGGTATTCCTTCAATACACCCACTTCTGCCATATTGTAAAGAGAGGGGGAGTTGTGTTCACGTTGCTTAGTGCCTGCCACGCCGTGGAAGATCACAGGGAAATCCTGAAACTCAGAAAAAAAAAAGATGAGGATTTAGGTGAGGACAGATTGAACATTTAAATATGCGCCTGGTCCTCATTACCTTCCTAAACAGGCATGTCCATGTTTTGTACAAACATTTCTCGAAATTAGCACAAGGCTGTAATTCTCCTCCATAAAACAGCTCATTAGGAATTTTTAAAATAGCAGGATGTGATCTGAGAGAAAAAGACAATTTCAGATAACGCGGTATGACCTAAATGTAATATTGTGAGGAAGTATATTTAAAAAATATGTATATATATGTCAACAACCAAACCTATAGTTTATCAGCAGTTTAGTGACATAGTGACTGTTGAACCCTGTTATCCTGTGTGGCTTGTACAGACTGATGTCCCTCATCAGTCTTTCCAACATGGACACACCTGCAGCAAGAAAAAAATGTTTAATCTCTTTGTCTTCTAGATGGCATTAAGTAGCAATTTTGCAACAATCATTTGTAATAATTTGACATGGATGGGTTTGTAAAGAAACAGATATCAAATTTGCAAAGTCTGCAACAAACTACGCATCTATTGCTAACAACTTGTGTGGTTGATAACCACTTGTTCTTGGTGCGTGGTGCTCACCAAAGCCATGTTTGTCTGCTATCTTTGAAATAACAATGGGGCCCAACTGTTTCGGATCTCCAGCCAGTACAACCTGACACGTTGTTAATTTCATTAAACCTGCAAAGGAACCATGTACTTATTAAGGGCAAAGTATTAAGCAAAATATCAAATATAGTATGTTAAATATCTGGTCCTAACATCACCTGATATTGGAATTAAACATTCTGGCTCTGTAGCTTGGCCTGCCTCATCCACAAAGATGTACGAGTAATGACCAGGGGGGATGCCTCCCGTGACTAGTCTGGAGCAGATGAAGCATCCAATATTTTTAAATAATAAATATTATATCCTGATGCATGCTCAATAATCCAAGTAGAAAAATCCAAAAAAGTTCAATCTGGTCCTCTGGACATTCAAAAAAACAAAAAACAAAACAAAGCAAAAAAAAATATAGAAACGTTTCGTCTCTCATCCAAGAGATAAATAAATATAAATGTTCCATTTGTTATAAACTATCAATTTTTCCACCCTAGTAGCATAATCAAACACAATCTTGAGGTCAGATTTTACAATTGTTGTACATTTTAGATGCAACAAAAGTTGAAAAATGGTGTCAATTTGTAGCAACAACAATAGTGGACAAAGATAATGTAATTGTTGCTATGCATGTGAGATACTGTTTTTCATTCTGTCAAGAAACGGGACAAACATTTACCCAAATGCAGAGTGGAAAAATTAAGGAAAACCAAACAGAAAAAAAATGATACATAAACCCGATTATTCAGCTAACACAACAAGTCCCAGAAAAAAAATAAAAAAATAAATCTTATTGATTTATAAAGCATTAAAAAAAAAACAGCTGTTGTTGGTCAAAGTGCTGCACATAATACAAACAGTATACACAAACAGGAGACCCTAAAACATACAAGAAATAAAATAAAAATAAAAACAATTAAAACCAATAAAAGAGGCAATGAATAAATAAAAAAAAAATTAATACAATAAAAGAAAAAATAATAATCTGATTGAATTATTGCTTATGTTTATTCAGCAGTCATAAATAATGAACCTAGTCCTGCTATGGATCCGATTCAGTTTTTGGCGTACTGTTTTTTTCGGACTATAAGGCGCACTTAAAAAAATCAACTCAAAAATCAACAGTGAGCCTTATGTTTTAATTATAGTTGTGCTTACTGATCTCAAACCAATTTTATGTGGTACACGGCACTCAAAAATCAGTCAAAATGTTTTAGTTTTGCTTAATGCAACTTATAATCCAGTCCGCCTTATGTGTGAAAACAAAACTGTTTATTGATATTGCGCCTTATAGTCCGAAAAATACAGTAAATTGCCACATATGACCCGAACTTTGTGAAACTTGAAATGTAAAACTATGCTTAAAACGTGAATCCAACTTTATAGCACGGGCCTTAAAGCAAAACGCAACAGTACCTAAAACAAGGTCACCAAAAAATAAAATCAAGAATACAGAAACAGGAACACAGACATAAAACCAACCAAAAAGGGCCCTAAGCAAACCTAACACGGAACCATAAAATACTCACTCATGCACAGGATATCAGGATCATAAAAACTAACATTAAACAAATCATAAAACAACCGTACATGACCTCTGACAAACAGATCCTGGGTGCAGCTTAGCTTAGCACCTTCTGTTAGGCAGGACACTCTAAAAACGTATTTGTAATCAGGTCAGTCACAGCTGTTCTCAAAGAAACATCATTAATAATATTAAGAGAAACAGCTAAATGTAATTTTGTCCTTTCCATCCACAGTCAGAATATGTATTTAGTATTTGAAAATGCTAGTTTTTTGATGCACGGTTTGTTTCAAATGACCATTGCTTTAGCTATAAATACCTTCCCACAGTTTGTAGGGTCGTGACCAAGATGGTGTAACTCATCAGTGTGTCTTTAGTGGGTATCTCCATTGCGTTTGTTATGGGGTTCAGGTTGCAGTTCTTCTGTAGATGAGAACAAAGCAGTTGGACACACGCAGACTCAGCTCACATGCAAAAGTCAGAATAAAGTGGGACTTTAAGCTCATTGTATTTGAAAAAAAGCAGCACAATGTTTCGACGTTAAAGAATTTGAAATTCCTGTCAACGCAGATGTCATATAAAACAAACGACAACAAAAATAACAGAGACATCGCATACCAGCAAACTTTGAGGGATCTTTCTCACAGGAAAGCTTAAGGGATACAAGCGAAACACTTTGTCCGTGCCAAGTTTTTCTTCCAGAATCTTCCCACAGAGGTGGTCAGTTGCACTGTTGGAGGGAGCACAGACCAGGATGTTGCAGCCGTGAGTTTCCAGACTCTGCCTGATGGCTTGCACCAAGGTTACCGTTTTGCCTGACCCAAAAAGAGAATGCAACAGCTGTGACTTAGTGAATGCAAAACTAGATGGCCTTTATGTGCAAAAAAGTGGACTATACCTGTTCCAGGTGGGCCAAAAAGCAAGTAGGGGGCAGGTTTTGCACTGCAGGCTACGATGTGTTGAATGGCTTTGCTTTGCTCTGGGTTGTTCGCCACGGATTTATTGGTTAAAGATCTGCAGAGACATTATATGAGAGCTTGATTAGAGTTAAATCAATGACATAGGCTGGCGTATGTGTGAGGTAACAGACATTCTAGGCAATTGCTGGTGATGGAAACACTCTTCAGTAGGGAACAGGAACTTATCCAGCATGCGCTTCTTCACCAGCGCAAGTGCTCTGTGTTGCATCTGTATCGGGATGCGGTGGTGAAAAAATGCAACGTTGCACCTCACGGCCTTGTTGAAATTACCTGGGAACCTGCAAATTAATTTAACTAAATTTATTCCAATGGACTAAGCAACATAACTCAACAGAAACAGCACAAGTGTGAAAATGTCTCCTTCAAATGTTTTTAAGAATCCCTCTTAAACACCATTTGTCAACTATCATAACATATTTTATCTTCACTGGACCAAAACGTACTTGGAGTAAAAAAATTAAACTGTTTGGGTTGTAAAAATGTTTTTCTTTCATAATACCTTCACCATTTTTTTACTTATGGAACAGCGATTGGATTCATTCCTTTGATTAGTTTTAAAGATTAAAACTAAACGATGTTTTAACAAATCATATTGCTTAGGGGAAAATAATTGGTATGGTCAATATTTACAATCAAAAACAATCTGTAAATGATTTTAAAAATTGAAAAAGCTCTCTTTGTGACACAAACAGTAAAAAGTCCAAATAGCATCCCTGTCTGTTCTTACGTTTCTTTGAATTTAATGTAGACTTTATCCTCGTCTATATCTTGGACCCAGCCAGTGTATTTATTCTGCGACTGTTTTAAAGGGGTCACTAGACCCTGGCACCCGGACAGCACCTCCGGGAAGCTGTGGGTGACGTCTGAAATCTGAAATGGAACCAGAGTTTTGTTATTTATGGTCAACATAAAAGCTTGAGTCATTTTTAAAATGTAAATTCAGTGTAAGATGCATGACCGAAACAATGAGGATGTCTTTTTCGGTTTTGTGTGCGACAACAAGCACGTCTTTCTGGTTGAATTTCTCAATCTTTGTCCTCATTCCATGCTCCTCGAGATAAAGCAGCAAGTGAAATCTCCAGGTGTAGGTGATGCATTTCAGTGGGCTGTTCTGCAGTTCCCTAAAAAACAAAATTCTGTTCATATCTTTTACAATCCCCTGAATCAGCAGCTTTGACCATTTGAAAGCAAAAGTTAAACAAAGCTCTATTTAATTCCACTTTATTCAAGACATCTAGATCAATAACCTCCTTCAAACAACCTCCTCCACAGCTGCGCATCTTGTTTTCTACAAACAATTCTTTACTTTGCGTTTAACATTTTGATCTTAGTGAGTAAAGATCTGCATGCTCAAACCAAACTGAAAGAGAGAAATTGCATTTCTTGTGAATATGCAGTGTGAACACTTATTGCAGAAGAACTTGCTAGAAAACAGTTGAAATTAGCTTAAAAAAGGCTGAAATCTAGCTGAAATGGAAAAAAGAACAAGCCTAAATTAGCAGAATAAAGCAGAAAGAACACATATGTGCTGAATTAGGATTTAATAAGCAAAAAATAGCATAAAAATTTTGGAAATTAACAAAAAAAAACTGAAGTTAGCTAAACAATTGTTGAAAAGTAGCTGAAAAGGCAGGAAAAAATGCTTAAACTACAAAAAGGAAGTGGAAGGCGCAGAAATGAGCTAAAAAAATGTGGAATTAGCTGAAAAAGCTAAAATTTGCATGAAACAACTTAATTCAAGGATTAAAGGTATTTTATTGTGTATCAAATTGTGTACACAGTGTCCCAGTTGCATCCAACAAAAGTATATGTAAAACAAAAACAGTAATAAGATCTAAGATATGAACTAAGAAAAATGTTACTTAAAAATACACTTAGCACTAGTATAAAAACAATACGCCGAACAGCAGCACGAACATAAGTAGCTACAAATAGCTGAAATAGCAGAAAAAAAGTTAAACTAGCAGAATTAAGCTGAAAGGAGCATAACAAGCTGAAGAAAAGAAAGCAATCAATTAGGCTGAAAGTTGCAGAAATTACCACGGAAAATTAGAATTTATCTGAAAATAGTTACAACTAGCTAAAAATGCTAAATAGGTAGCTGAAACAGTAGAACAAGTTTAAATTACTAGAAGAAAGCAGATAAAACACATGGTTACCCAACTGTGCTTAAAGAAGCAGAAATGAGCACAAGAGGAAATAGTCTTAAAAAAAAGAAAAGAAAACTGAAATAGCAAAAAACAACTGAAAAGTAGCTAAAAGAGCAGAAAGAGGCTTAAAATACCAGAAGGTAGTGGAGAGCACATTTTTGCTGAATTAGGCTGAAAAAAGTCGAAATGAGTGCAAAAAAACGTGGAATTAGCAGACAAGGCTAAAATTAGCATAAAACAGCTGAAATAGCAAAAAAGCTGAAACTCGCATAAATAAGATGAAAGATGCATTACAAGCTGAAATTAACATAGGAAGTTAGAAGAAGCACAAAAATAATGTAGTTAGCAGAAATAATCTAAAATGATCACAAAACAGCTGAAGAAAAAAAAAAAACAGCTGAAAGCAGCTGAAAAAAATTGTTTGAATTTGAACAAGGAAGCTAAAAGAAGCTGAACCAGAACAAAAATGTGAAAGGAGCAGTAAAAGGTTGTAAACCGATCTAAAGATTTGAAAGATGTAAAATGAGCTCAATTCATTCAGAAAAGGCTAAATATTTCAACAAGCTAAAGTTGCACCAATACCAAAACTCATAGCAGAAGTGTCTTGGAAGAGCTGAACATTTTTATATAAGATTTGTTGAAATATCACAAAAATTTTGGCATGAGAAAGATGCCACCAAATAACGTACAGAACACAATAGTGTGAATGCTTCATAAACATTCCCACTATGAGATTTTCAATTTACAAAATAATAAATGAATACCAGTCTGCTTTTGCAGTGTTGTTTACACTCTCAGGCACTTTATATTTCTCGAGAGGCACAACAGGGATGAGGAATACTTGCGAACATCTGCAAGAGTGGGAAAAAAACAAGGTGCACAAAACTGTTGTAAGGTCAAACTTGCTTTAATTGGCAGTACGATAGGTAAAAATGTTTCCTGTGTGGAAAAAAAAACTAGTGAAAATAAATAATCAGACATTGGTTACCCATCATGAATCACCCTCTTTTCTGTCTGTAGGCTGTGCAGTAAGTTTATGTCTTCGGGAGGGTACGCCTCACTGCCAGGCGCTTGTTGTGTGACCTCCAAAAGGTGCATGATCTCAAACTCATCGGAGCATGGCTTTATAAATGTAAAGACCAGTAGCTGCTCATAGAATCCGACTTGGTCTGAGGTGAAATGAATGTTCATCTTGAATACTTCTCCTTAAAAAAAACCAAGAACGATGGTAAAATATGTGCATGGTAAAATGGTAAACATGTGCATGTGCCATCTCATGCAACATTGTGAGATGTCACCCAGAGTACGTGTTGTCAACTATTCTCAGAAATGACCACATCACATTTCAGACTTAAGTATGTCATTTTGTATTGGCTACTACTTTAAAGTTATTGTACCAGAGGACGTTGACTTGACTCTAAAGGTTAAGCTGTAGATGTGCATCCATTGGTTAGTTTCTGAATATTTCATTAAAATATGTGGAGCAGTTCATGAGGTATTTTGCTGACAGACAGACAAAGTTTGCGCATTGAGTAGCACTTGGAAAATGTCTTGTGAATGACTCTGTGACAAATATTACACGCTTTAGCACAACATATACACACACACGGATAGAAATGTGGGCAAAAAGCATAATTTGCTTTTGCTTTTTGGAAAACAAAAATGCACCGCCTACATTTAGTAATTTATAACTGTAAAAATCATATTTGTCACTGATTTCCAACTGTAACATACCTGGGGAAATACAGTAATTCTTGATAGTTCTGATAGTGTTTCCATCGCGATCGCTGATGGTGAAAATGTTTTTCACAAATTCAGTCAAATGAACATTTAAATAAACCTTCTCTCGACCAAAATTCTTCACAGTGAACGGCACAATTTTCTGTTGGGCAGAGAAAAAGAACATGTTTCAGTAAATCTCTGTCTGATGTTGACAACCTAAGAAAATCTTACAGCAAACGCATATTTTTTTTAAAAATATTTTGTGAAAAACAACTTAAAACATAGCCAGGTTAAAGTAAAGAAAATATAAAAGGTGTATTTGCCACAGTAAATATCATGTAAAGATGTTGAGCTTGCTTAGGAATGAGATTTACAAAAAAGACTAACGCTTTAAACAGTTTGAGTTATGATTACAGATGTTCTTTACTCTGGATTCACCTTGTTTTCATCCACAGAGATGCAGATTTTAGATTTTTCTGCTGGAGGTTCTGAAGTGACGGAGACATGATATTTCTCAGGGATTAAGGATGCCCTGTGTAAGGATAACACAATGACTTGCTACTAATTGTATACTGCTTTACTTTTACTACAAAACCATTACCGTACTTACAATAATGGGTTCACATCTATTATTGTGTTAGAGACACTACATAAGGGTAAGCTGAGGAAACACTGTGCTTAAACTTCTCTGTGACCGATACCTTTGTCTTCTGTAATTCTGAAAGGCCTTCGCCCACTTCTGACGGAACTGGACATTTTGATGCGCCTCCATTGTCAGCGTTTTTTCACTGGATACGAATTCCTCTGTGTCAGGGGAAACCGATGCTCTCGCTCCCGTCTCTGTTTTATCTTGATTTTGATTCATTTTGTTCTAAATCCAGAAGAAAAAAAAAAGTTTCTTTGAATTCAGCCTCAGGACCTGTTTCAGTTTATAAAGCAATTTATGTTCAAGTCCATCCAAGTCCTTCAAACAGAGCCCATGCAGCCGATAAAGAACCATTTGTTCTGTTTTTTGTTTTTTTTTAATTTGTTTTACAGTTGTACAAGCTTCCAGTGATAGTTGTGTGCGATCCCTGTCAATTTTTTTTTTTTTTTTTCTAAAATCAGCAAAATAACAACAGTGGACCAATTACATGTGATTTAAAACTGTGATATTGATGCATGAAATTAGATTTAATGTATAGTAAATGTAAAGAGTGTAAATGACTGTACAGTAGTCCCTCGTTTATCATGGGGGATCTGTACTCTGAAGCCCCGTGATAAGTGAAAAACAGCAAAATAGGAATAGTAGTACAAGTAGTAAGTAGTAGTTTATTTTAGTATATATATATATA